TATACATATATGACAATGACCTGTACACTCAGCCACTTGCATTAAAAAATATAATAATGACATTGTTTAATTAAAACAGTCTCTTGTTTAAGACAACTACTTTTCTTCGTGTTCCTTATGTTGTACAGCTCTGAACAGAAACCTAAACTTGTTCTCTAGATCTAGCTGCTGGCGGGGGCATTTCTTCATTATTATGCATTTTTTTCTGTAAATGAATTTTTAAAATTACATCCTGTTTGCATCTCGCAACAATTTTGTTAGGGTATACACAGACTTGACGTGGGTGGTTGGTGGGTGCTCTGGTGTGGTTTGCTCCTTCTTTCCTATCAAATGTTTATCGTCCTTATCTCCCCTCCTTCTTTTTTATGTTTGTTACTCTCAGCTGCTGGGGCCTTTCTTCATTATTATGCACTTTTTCTGTAAATGGAATTTTTATTACATCCTGTTTGCATCGCGCAACTAACGATTTTATGAGTGGGTGGTTGGCGGGTGCTCTAGTGTGGTTTGCTTCTTCTTTCCTATCAAACGTCTATCATCCTTTTCTCCCCTCCTTCTTTTGTATGTCTGTTACTCTCTTGTTACACCTCTATTCTTCAGCACTTATATGACCTTATTGTGTTGCGAGCGCCGTAAAACACTTACTAAGACTAAACTTGTTCTCTAGCTGCTGGGGCATTTCTTCATTACTATGCAGTTTTCCTGTAAATCGATTTTAAAAATTATAACCTGTTTGCATCTCGCAACAATTTTAGTGGGTGGTTGGCGGGTGCTCTGGTTTGGTTTCCTCCTTCTTTCCTATCAAACATCTATCGTCCTAATCTCTCCTCCTTTTTTGTGTATGTTACACACTTGTAACACCTCTATGCTTCTGGCGCTCAGACCTTATTCTTTTGCGAGTGCCGTAAAACACTTACTAAAACTAAAAAGAAACCTAAAATTGTTCTCTAGCTGCTGCGGTCTTTCTTCATTATTATGCAGTTTTTAATAATAATAATAATAATAATAATAATAATAATAATAATAATAATAAATAGCATTTGTTTAGCGCTTATTGTCGCTCAACAGCAGGCTCTATGCGCTTTACACTATATTATTACCCCAGCAAACCATAGAACACTCCGAAACATTCTCAGCTTCCAGGGAAACATACAGTGCAAGCAGCTGATTAAGCTCTCAAACACTAACAAACTGACAAGATCTTTCGCTGTCTGTAGCCGGGTACCCATTTCCACCTGGGTGAAGTGAGGAAAATTCGTGTAAAGTGCCTTTCCCAAGAGCACAACGTCGGGCCCCTAACGGGATTCGAACCTACAACCTTACGGTTGGGAGTCCGAGAGCCTAACCACTAGGCCACTGGCCTTTCTTCATAATTATGCAGTTTTTTTTGTAAATGGATTTTTAATTACATCCTGTTTGTATAGAGCAACAATTTTATGAGGGTTTTTTTTTACACATACTTGAGGTGCTCGCTAAGCACACGTTCCCACCTTCACAGCACGTCTCCACTCGGTGCATTGCAGAATTCCCAGTGCGCATGGATGCGTAACGTAGAGAATTGTGTACCAAATCAGCAGCTGGAGATCGGTTGGTTTGCGGGTTCTTTAACTTTAATGGTGTGGTTTGCTCCTTCTTTTCTATCAAACATCTATCGTCCTTATCTCCCCTCCTTCTTTTTTGTGTATGTTACTCTCTTGTAACACCTCTAATCTTCTGGCGCTCATAGGACCTTATGCAGTTGCGAGCACCGTAAAACCTCTACTAAAACTAAACTAACTCTCTCTCCTCCTTTCTTGTGTTTGTTAAATGCTCTCTTGTAGCATCTCTAATCTTGGGTAATATATTATATGTAAATA